GGTTCCTCGACATTCTGAGTAAAACCAACACCATCTAGTACGGCGCTGAAAGCTTTGTTTAAGCTGTCAGTGCTGTCGTCCACATGTATATTGAAGTCTCCAGCTATAACTATCTTTTCCCATACCAAAACTAGGTTTGAAATGATGTCAGAGAATTCTGTTAGGAACTCGCTGTAAGGACCAGGAGGTCGGTATAAAACTATAAATAGTACTGCTTTTTGTTTTCTCCACCCAGGACAGGTGATTGAAAGTGTTAAGTTTTCAAACGAGTGAAAAGCGTTGTTGGTTTTGGGACTAAGAACCAAGTTGGTGTGTGATATAATCGCAACGCCACCGCCGCGACTTGTAGTTCTGGCTTTCTGGTAGTTAACATGCGTCGGAGGAGTGCACTCATTCAATCTAACGTAGTCGTCCTGTTGGAGCCAAGTCTCCGAGAGCGCAAACAGATCCAAGCCCTTGTCTATAATAAGTTCGTTTATGAGAAGCGATTTAGACGAGATTGATCTGACGTTCATTAAACCACATTTAACAACCCTACCGCTAGAACTATTTCTGTCTGTCTGAACTTTTATTAAGTTACTGTGTCTGACACCCAGGTCAGATTTCCTCGCATATAGTGCTTTAGACTTCAAGCGGGGAACACACACAGTTTCAATCTGACTAGGTTCTGAGGCTAGTAACTGAGCACACACAGGCACACACACACATGCACACATAGTTTCAATCTGACTAGCCTCTGAGGCTAGTAACTGAACAGATGGGGGCTCAGAGGTTGTGGCAGAGCAGCTCTGCACCCGGGCCTCAGTTCTGCATCGTCATTTGAGCCGAGCAGAACAGTTTAGAGCCAGGGCCAAATTCTTAGCCAAAAGGGATGTACCCGCCAACGTTGGGTGGATATCATCCGAGCGGATAGACCGGGCTTTCCCCAAAAGGCACTCCAATTGTCAACATGAACAACACCACTTCGAGGGCACCAGCCAGACAGCCAGCGGTTGAAAGCCGAGTGTCTGCTGAATGCTTCTGCACTGCTAGTGCTAGGTAGGGGCCCAGAGAAGATGACAGTGTCGGCCATTGTGCTAGCCAGCTTGCACACGGCGGCGACTTGCAGCTTCAACACCTCGGACTGTTTCCGCCGAACGTCATTACCACCCGCGTGAATAACAATTCGACGGAAACGCTGCTTGTGGGTCATCATGAGCCTCAGATTCCCTTCAATATCACCAAGCCTGGCCCCAGGGAAGCACCGAACAGTGGCTCCTGGGATCTTAACACCTCTAACAATAGAGGAGCCAATTACCATTAAGATCAACAACTTTGTTGTGTTCAGGGATTTTTTCTGCCAGCTCTGGGCCTATGCCTACAAAAAAATTATTAAACTTATTAGCAAAGTTGTGCATGTTTGTGACAGTGGTTCTCCCCTCAAGGAAATAATTTGGATATGGGTCCTTCTTAGTTTCCCTTTTTAATATCTTATTTAGTACGCTCCAAATACCTTTAATATTATTTTTATTTTCATTCAAAACATTAGTGTAATATTCTTTCTGACACGTTCTAATTATGTTTGTTAATTTATTTTTGTATTGTTTGTATCGGCTTTCAGCCTCTTCTGTTCTTAATTTGAATAATTGCCTGTATAAATAGTTTTTCTTTTTGCATGCATTAAGTAGGCCTTTAGTTAACCAGGGACTGTTAGTTGTTTTTTTAGTTTTATTAAAATTACGCATTGGACAATGTTTATCGTAAAGTGTGCAAAATCTGTCAACTAAGTTATTGAAGGCCCTATCCACATTTACTTCTGTATCATTCCATTCTTGACCTAAAAGATCACGTTTGAAATTTGAAATGGCATCTTCTGTTCTTAATCGTTTAAATATGGGATCATGTGATTTCTTCTCATCGGTGTAGTTGTCATTATATATGGCAAATACAGGGAGGTGGTCTGTTATATCACACACCATTAATCCACTCTGTGAGGTGCGCTCAATGTTGTTTGTAAAAATGTTGTCGATAAGTGTTGCGCTGTGAGATGTGATTCTACTGGGACGTGTTATGATTGGAAGTAGACTCATACTATACATTTTGTTCATAAAGTCATCTGTTACTGTGTGGTTGTTGGGATTAAGCAGGTTTATGTTGAAATCACCACATATAAATAATGTTTTATTTGTGGTTGAGTACATTTTTTCCATCCACTCGGTAAAAAACTCAATACTTGAACCTGGTGATCTATACACACAACTGATGATGACATTCTTTTTCTTTTCACAGGAGATTTCAACTGAAATACATTCAAGTATGTCGCTTACAGCTAATGACATTTCTTCAATTATTTTATAATTCATATTCTCATTTACATATATTCCAACCCCTCCACCCACTTTGTTGGTTCTATTTACATAATTAAAATTATAACCATCTAAATCAAAATTGCCACCTTTTTCTTCCTTAAACCATGTTTAAGACACTGCAACTATACTAAAAGATTGCTCAATATGTTGAAGATATTCCTTAATACTATTAAAGTTTGAGTACATACTCCTACTGTTAAAATGAATGATTGACAATTTACCATCAGCCTCGATTGCATTATGTTGATCTACTGAATAATATTTACAGTCAAAATTTCTATGTGAGAAAAACATATTGTCAGGGTCTACATCATAATAAGGATCATGTTCATTATTGATACTAGCGTTCTCAAATGTGTTTAATTCCAAATTGTCATTATTAACACACATATGGTGTAATTCCATGTCTCTTACAGCAATAGAATTGTGATTTGTCATGTGTTGAATGAGATTACGTAATGCGTGTTACCATTTGCGAAATTATTCATATTTACTCAGCTCCTCCATGCTTCTAATGACCAAAACTCTGGCTGCCTCTGGTGATCCATTAAGTTTAATAAACACTTTGCAGTTGCTCACCCATGTGTTTTGGATTTTGCTCTGCTTCCTCAGGAATCTAGCTTTACGTGCAATGTCCGCGTTTTTTCAGGTTAAGTGATCATTGAGGAAAACATTGCTTCCCTTCAGTTTCCTCCCTTGCTTCAGCAGAGCAATCTTATTCTTCCTGTTGGTGAATCTCATGATGACAGCAGTCGTGTCGTTGTCCTTTCTGTGTAGAGGGTGACAGGCCTCAATATTCTCCAAGTCCAGTGATATGTCTTTGGACGCAAGAAAGGCTGCCACCTGCTGTTCCACTGAGCGCATCTCTGACTCCTCGGGCTCGGTTCCACTTCCAGCGGTCACTGCCTTGGCATATGACCGGGGCCTGATCTTTAACCCGGTCACGACAATATCGTTGATCCTAGAGTACTGCTCCAGATCCTCTACCCTCTTCTCCAGGTCTGTGATCTTCCGGTCCTTCTCTGCATTCAATAAGCGCAGCTGCTTCACTTCCTCCACTAAGTGTAGAAGTTGTTTCTGCTGGCTCCTTATTGCAGTAGTCTCCGCAGTGATAAAGTCCAACGACCTTTTAATTTCCCCAACATCCTCAGCAGATGATGACGCGCTTGTATCACTTTGCTGGCTCCTCATTGCAGTGACTTCAGCAGACAAGGAGTTGAGTGATTTTCGCAGTTCCTCCACTTCCTCAGTAGCGTAAGTTTTCTTCAGCGGCATCGTTCCAGATTTTGTCTTACAAGCTTATGCCAATATGATCTGAAGAATGCGTAAAGCTGTCGTACTTTCCCAGTCCGCGGTGTTTTTGGGCTCGTTTTTTTGCATGTTTTGCATTTTCCAAGGTGAACTGATGTATTTTGGAATCACATGAATGTGTTTGCAGCCTATCATTTTCAGATTTGAAAAAAAAAAAACACCTTCACCTCCCTTGGGTAGTTGCAAAGGGATAAAGCAGCCGGATGGCATTATTTACCATTGATACTTATATAGTTGCATGTTTAAAAACATGAAATGTCAGAAAGTTGAAAAAGTAAATCTTGTTCATGTCATTGTGCAATGTGCATGCATTCCAAACAGCAAATATCAATAAAAATCCAAATCCATTGTCAACGGGACAGCGAGTGAGGGGGCTTCCACGTCCAGAACAGAAACAGGTTGTACAACATTATTCTTTCCCTCATATTTTATATGTAGGGCCAATAAAGTCAAATTAGGTTTCCAATGGAGATGGTGATTGAAGGTCAGAAAAAAGTAGACAGTTTTCAACTATGCCGTCAAGAGAGCAAATGGTGGAAAAACACAAAAGAGGACATCTACAAAAGTTGTTGAGTCTGAATTTGTTAAACCTTTGGTCAAACTGTGTGAATTATTTCCTTTTAAAATGTACGTTGGTTTGGATTTTGGCTAACTGAACATTGATCCTTATACTGCAGAGAATATGCCATTTCATTTGACCATGAACACGTTGAGTATATTTGAAAACCTCGGCCTAGAGCCAACAGTCTCATTCAATAATAATAGGACTTTTACCAGTTTTTTGTATTCTAACATGTTATGACAGATTAGAAGGCTTTCTGTTCCCTCTGGCTCCACAAGTGTATCACTGTTTCAAAATGTTTATGTAACTTTGGTTTGTGTTTGCTATTTTGTGTAAAAATGTACTCGTATATCTGTGTATATATGTTGTCCTTTTGAAAACGTTTTATTGGGGTAAGATAAGAGATCCTTCATTTGTCCCACGGTCGGGAAATTTCAATGGTGTCATGAACAATTATTTTTGACAATAGAAAATTAATTGAGTGGTGTCAACTGAAACTACAGTAACTACCACCTGCATTAATATAGGTTGCCATGGCGATATACTTTCTACTTTTCCTATGGAATGTTGCTTGTAACCCTGGCAACACATTCTAGAACTCTATGACATCACAAAGCAAGGACACAGTCAGTGTGAAGGTCTCAGAGACAAATCTGAGACCGGAGAGAAACCAAAACCTGGAGAAAATCAAACGACAGAGCTCTTTTGACAAACGCCAAACCTTCATCACGCGTACATTACAATTGGATGGTGACATGGAGTATGAAACACTTATGAAGATGTGGGAGAAGGAAAGAAAAGCCCTGTTAGACTTCTGGATGAAGAAGTTTGAGCAAGAAAAAGAGGCCAAGGAGCATTTATTGAAACTCCTCCGCAAAGAGCCGACTGTTTCCATCAATGTGGATGAACTGACCAATGTCCTTGGGGCAGAGCCGAGGGTCAGACGGATCCAAGGTGCAGACAACCACAAAGGTCAGCGCTATCAGATTGAGCTGGGGACTTCTGAGGACTTGGACCATGAAGCCGAGTTCTACAAAGCCATCATCACAGTCACAGTAGGACATGATCTGGAAGAACTGGAGGTTAAACCTGCTGTGAGTGTTGTAGATGAAGAAACAGCTCCTTCAGGGACACAGGCTGAGGCTGAGACTGCTGTGGACCACAGTCTGGAGTCTGACGCTAACCTCACAGACACAGCCGTGGAGAACCTCAGCACGGAGAGAGAAATCCTCAATGAGACTGTTTCTGCTGTAGAAGCCCCTCTGTCAGTGCTAAATGCTGCACTGGATACAGTCTCAGGAGCACCAGCTTTAAAGGCCGACTTTCCTCAGGTCATAAAAAACAAAAAGAAGAGGAAAAATAAGAAGGCCGCAAAGCTAATCATTAGAAGTACACAGCAGGTCCAGGAGCCAACTGAGACCCAGACCGCCGAGGCTTCTGAGGACTTGGACCATGAAGCCGAGTTCTACAAAGCCATCATCACAGTCACAGTAGGACATGATCTGGAAGAACTTGAGGTTAAACCTGCTGTGAGTGTTGTAGATGAAGAAACTGCTCCTTCAGGGACACAGGCTGAGGCTGAGACTGCTGTGGACCACAGTCTGGAGTCTGACGCTTACCTCACAGACACAGCCGTGGAGAACCTCAGCACGGAGAGAGGAATTTTCAATGAGACTGTCCCTGCTGTAGAAGCCCCTCTGTCAGTGCTAAATGCTGCACTGGATACAGTCTCAGGAGCACCAGCTCTAAAGGCTGACTTTCCTCAGGTCATAAAAAACAAAAAGAAGAGGAAAAATAAGAAGGCCGCAAAGAATACCATTATAAGTACACTGCAGGTCCAGGAGCCAACTGAGACCCAGACCGCCGAGGCTTCTGAGGACTTGGACCATGAAGCCGAGTTCTACAAAGCAATCAACACAGTCACAGTAGGACATGATCTGGAAGAACTGGAGGTTAAACCTGCTGTGAGTGTTGTAGATGAAGAAACAGCTCCTTCAGGGACACAGGCTGAGGCTGAGACTGCTGTGGACCACAGTCTGGAGTCTGACGCTAACCTCACAGACACAGCCGTGGAGAACCTCAGCACAGAGAAAGAAATCCTGGACACACACGTGTGTATGTCTATGTGGTGTGTGTGTCCTCTCACACAGAGAGAAATCCTCAATGAGACTGTCTCTGCTGTAGAAGCCCCTCTGTCAGTGCCCAATGCTGCACTGGATACAGTCTCAGGAGCACCATCTGTAAAGGCTGACTTTCCTCAGGTCATGAAAAACAAAAAGGAGAGGAAAACTATTAGAAGTACACTGCAGGTCCAGGAGCCAACTGAGACCCAGACTGCCGAGGTACTCCCTGATGCAGTGGTGAAACCACAAGACACACAGACCCCACATATGAAGCCCGTTGAGCAAGGGCGTAGGTTTGCGTGGGGACCATGGGGACATGTCCCCACCAATATTTGGTGAGGACTAAAAAGTCCCCACCAAAATGACATGATGTCCCGTGACCCGGACGGTCCGGGACACATGTCTTCCGTTTGTGCACACGTCGCGCCTCCTCCTCGCCTCCAGAGCAACAGCAGCAGCAGCAGCACGTGACCCGTTCCGTTCTCTGCAGTGATTGGCTGTCTTCTTCAGCGCCAAACTGAAGCACTGAGCAACTGTTTAATTTTTAAAAGTTAGCCAGCGTGAAGCAAGTGTTTTATTTCGTTCCCTGAGCGTTGTAGCACGTGAGTAATCAGAGGAAAGTACTGTAGATCAATTACCATTCAAAGTACTTACGTTATTTCTAATCTGTCAGCGCACTGTTTAATGTTCCGAGGAGCTCACACGGCACAGAGACAGAACAGAACTGGCTCCAATAAAGAAACAGCTGGTGAAAGGCTGAAAAAATACTTATTGTGCTCTTACTATCCAAAATGTATAAGTGGGTGTGTTGTGTGAATCAGGATAAACTAGGGATGAAAATATTCCACGGATCCACGATTTACAACCCTTATCTGCTGATAATGTGATTTCTGTGAAATGTGTGACAGCGGGCACTTGCTGTGATTTGCTCTAAGCACATTCATGCGATGCACTCGAATGTGCACGTCCTGGTGCAGCTGCTGCCGCTTTGTAATGACAGCCGCGGCGCTCAGTGAAAGCACAGCTCTAACATGGTACCGAGCTCGGACCATATGCAGACAGAACCATGTTGCAAGTGCGGGTCTCCCTCGTATCTCCCCCGTTTCTCCCCTGTGTCTCTGACATGTCTCTCCCCTGACTCTTCCCAAAGCGCAACCAGCGCTCCCGAAATTAAAGCTCGAATACGTAAATTTTCCATTGCGTTAACGATGCATGCTGGTTGTGCGCAAAACACACCACAACAGGTCATTTAAGTTTTTATTTTGCATACTTGAGAGCCCTGTGAGTCATTACTTGCCTTTTTGGGTTGAGAGTGGAATAAAAAAAAAGAAAATATAGAAAAATCCACACTGTTACTTATTGCCAAACTCTTGTTAACTCATTGTATTGAGAAATACTATGTAACTTTTGACATTGGCCAAGTTATATAAATTATTCTGCAGTTCATGTATATGAATGTCTGTTTTTGATTTTCTATACCTTCTTATATAATTTAGAAAAAATGCCACCTCCACAAAAAAAGATAAAAGATATCAGGAGCTTTTTTAACAGTTGGAAAGTAAGTAAGAGAAAGCACAAGTAATAGCAAATTATGAATTGTGATGATTAATCTTCTGTTAACATACATAGGAAACTCAACCAACAAGAGAGAACAATATAGGGAATGTTGAGGTAGAAGCAACAGGCCCTTCAGTGCATCAGGTGAGGTTGGAATTTTGTAGGTATGCATGGGACTATGAATTGTTTTTAGAGATTGATCGTATATGTCAAACAATGTAGTGAGATACTCACTGTAGATTCTAATTCAATATTTTCTCCTCTGTTTTTATTTATTATAGGAAATTGAAAGATCAGAGCATGATTTATTTCAAGTATCGAGAGCAGTTCCTGAACTGTTAGAGCCTCAGGTGAGGGCTATTATGTAGATTTGGATTAGGTTTAAGTCAGTATAGAATGAACGCAACACAAAACTCAGAAGCTCTGATCCAATTGATTTTGTTTTAACTATTAGAAAAAATCCTTAACTGCTTCTCATTCAGTCTACAGCTGAGTTTAGTGTAGAAGGCAACACACTATTGCAAATATAGTGTGTGATTACACAACAAATTCTGGGGGAGAAACTCTGGACCCCGTGTCAATGGGTGTAGACTCAGGTCGTAGTGAATGTCCCCACCAAGATTGGAACCAAACCTACACCATTGCCGTTGAGTCTTCAGCAGAGACTAGAGTTCAAGTCGAGGATACAATTGTGAAGGAAGTGTCTCCCCTGAAGATGGAAGAGTATCCCTGCTCAGACGTGATGGACATGATGGCCGTCACCACACATGGCCTCAGTGTCAGAAAGACAAAGTTACTGAAGAAGAAGAATCTCAACCTACAATGTGCAGAATCTTCAACAACAGAAAACAAACTGAATTTTGCAAAAGAGGCCCAACAGGCTGCAGCAAAGGCCCCACAGCCCCCAGCAGACGTCCAGCAGGCAACAGCAGAGGCCCATATGTGTGGAGGAAAACAGCAATCTCAAACAAAAAGCGCTAATGGCAAAAATAAGGACATTTTCTTAAAATCCACTAGAAAGGAAACAGAAAAGAAGACAAACAAAACACAAAGGACACACAAAGGGGGTAAAAATGGGAAGTTTTAAATGTACAAATATTAAACCGAACCAAGAGAACAGAGAGGGTCAGTAAAGAGCTGAAGGTCCTCTATAATACCCAAGAGAAATGTAGTATCCATATAGGATTAATGCATGTACCAGAACTTGTATCACGTCATGAGATAATAGCACTGCCTCCTCACACCACATTGATCAGGCTACAGCAGCGGTGGTCGACTCACTGCAGAAAGGCACGTGTGGCCACAGGTTTTCATGTGAACCAGTCTTCAGGTTCAGACTGGACTCATTTTATGAAGTGAGTGAAGTCTGATGTGGTCTGTTCGTTGGAAGAAAAACCTGCATTCACACAAGCCTTATTGGAATGAGTTTGAACCCCTGGGTCGTCAGTATCTGTGGAGGAGTAAAGGACTATAGGGCTGGGTGATCTGGAAACAAAACAGATTACTTTGTTTTTCTCGGTCAGTTTGGTATGCAACACAGGCTTGTATACAGAACTGTACATGTTCATTTAATTTAGGTACATTTAAATGTACCTAAATCAAATACAATTTAACTAGTTTAATCCAATTTAACTATAGGTGCCCCTCTTCAATCGTTACAGTAAACAACTGAAGAGGGGCACTTAGTTAGACAAATGAACTAATGTAGAGTTAATGAAGGGTTCCCCAGTTCTCTGTCCTAATGTGAGGGACTGAAGAGTGTCCGTCTTTAGGTCCTCACACTGTTACTGTCACATGTTTGGTGTCTGTCTTGTACACGTTTAAACCAAGCCCCGGCGATCCAAGATGGCGCCCTATTCAAATGAATGGTTGCGCTCAGTGGCGCTTTGTGACAGCATGGGGGCTGAAAGATTAGCGGAAGTTGCCTGAAACTCGCAAAGATCTATGGGAAACTCGCCTGTATTTGGGCATCGTCTGGTCCTCCCGGTTCTGCGCAGTGGATGATCTCCCATAATGCGTTGCGCCAAACACGCGTGTGTGGGTCTCACACCGGGTCTCACGCACGTGCACAGAGGGGCTCGGCCGCGCTCTGACCAATCAGAGCAGTTCATCAGAGCGGGAGTTAGAGCGAGAGCCAGAGGAGCAGAGTTTGTGGCACTAAAGTGTGGATTTAAACAAAACCGAAAGATTTAAGAAGAAAAAAAGGTCAGGATGACAAGGGACACTAAAATCCCCACAAAATCCAATCTTTATTAAAGCTGTAGGTTCTCTGTCAGCTGAGGTCGAGCTGTTTTAATATGCATTGAGTTCTATGGGGAAAATTTCTGGGTAGCCCACGTGAATTTAGTCTGGTTCAGTCTGCAGTACTGCGAGAATCCCCTGAGCACGTGAGTTATTCAGCTACAAGCTAGTAATACCCTATCCAGTTAATATAATACATCCATGGTTTAAACGCCTGCTGGAAAACCCTCTTCATGATCAGCAACCATCACGCCAAAAGTCTGAACAAAACTTTTGCACTTTAAGAGTCGGCAACTCAAAAGCTTCAAAGAGCCATATTTGACAAAAAAAACAAAATAAAAATCTGTCTGTAGCCGCAAAAAAATAACAGCCTTGTATAATGCCGCTTTTCTACATAAACAGTAATGTATTGTATTTGTACTTAACATTCTCCTCATCCGGAAATGAGGTATGTCTGAGACCCGGTCTCAGACGTACGTACTTTGGACTTTGTAAATTGTTGTTTTTTTCACTTTACTTTTGTTTTTAATAAATCTGTGATCATATCAAGACTTTTTTTTCATCCATTTGTCTGTGCACATGCAGAAAAGGGGTTCAAAAGTATCAAAAGGGGTTCCCACCACATACTTTTACTTCTATTTACATTATGTAGGAGAAATAAAAATGACCTATTTCCTTAATCAAAGACATTTTGTTGTATATTGAGACATATTATAACTCCACTGTGTGTAAATCCTTGTGGTTCAGGTAAGAATGCCTTAAGATAAGTGCCATGTCAACACCCTTCCCCCAACGACTCTTCAAGGTGTGAAGATATGCAAGGATCCACAGAACACAAGTCAGTCTGCTCTGGAGCAATGGAGTAGCAAGACCTCAGCTCCATGTTTGAGAGGACTTCCACAACCCTTCAATAGCCTCCAGCTTCAACCTGAAGAAGTTGCTGAACCGTGGCTCCTAGACTGTGGATCGTGGAGGGATTGGCTCTACCCCAAGATGCACCACATGATCCAGGCCCCAAGAACAAGGACTGGCCCCATGCATCGCCAAGACCCAACAAGGACTGTTCTCCATCGATCAACGTCACATTCTGGTTGTATGCTCTGCTCCGTACAGTTGTTGGCTTTCTAAAACCTACACTTTAAAATAAGAACACTTAGTCCTCACAAAGACTAGAAACACAAGGTAGCAAGGCCTTCCCATCCACTCATAGACAAAGGCCTTTAGCCTCATCACACATTAGCCAGCAGTCAAAAAATACTCATATATATTTTTTTTTTATCATGTATTTATTGTGTTGTGCTGTAGTAGTCCACTAGTGTGTAA